TAGAGTGTTTGTGATTAAATTTTATAAGTGCTATATAAGTTGGTTTAAAATTTCAGATTATAAGCAAATATGACTATAGAGAAGGTAACTATAGCGATAGAGAAGTTTGAAAAAACATAATATTTAAATAATTTATAATAATTTATGTTAGTTAATTTTTTTAGATACATAGTTAAGAGCAATATCAATTTTAATTTGATAAATCTCTTTGATCGTTTAGGGTTTTAAGTAGAGATTTTGTTGAAATATGTACGGACAGAATGGCATCTACCCTTGGATATTATAACAAAGATGGATTTCCACGAAAACACCTTAGAGCAAATATATGTGCGATATGTGGTGTAGCTGCAAATGGAACAGATGAAGTAGGAGAACAACAGAATGTTTTTCAGCTGGCATGTCGACATGTTTTTCATAATGACTGTATACGTGGGTGGTGTTTAATAGGCAAAAAAGATATTTGTCCATACTGGTATGTGAATACAACTTTATTTTCATTTAAGTCTATTTTTAATCACTAGTACTCATTTGACTGTTTCTTTACATAGTAAAGAAAAAGTTGATATGAAAGAATTCAAAACCAACCCGTTAGTACAAAATTTTTATTCCATTAAATTTATATATCTTACAATAATTTCTTAAAAGCCAAATCATTAACAAATTTATAGATGGGACACGCAGCAGCAACTGTACCTAAGTCTACTAGATGGCGTCCGTTATTTGATAGTATGGCAACCTGTAAGTTACCTTTTTTCGCTTTTTTTAATCGACTACTCAAATGCTAAATCTTTATTATTTTTTTAGGTAATTTTCGCATTTGTAGAATTGGCTTACCATTTATTTGGATTGGAATAGCATGCAAAATTTATTAATTATTACTGGCAGGACTATATATAACATTTATTAATTTTATTTTTATGTAGTATATTACAATATTTTCGGACTTAGATAATATAAAGTCAGAAATTTTTTTATAATTATACTAATTTAAACCGATTTATATTTACCTGAAATAGAAACTTTTATACAAAATAAAATTTATTCAATTTCTGTCTTTTACGAGTATATACAATGTTATCTAATAAAGGAACATATTATAAAAAAGTCGCAATAAAATTAAAATACCTAACAAAGTATTTGGGATTGGATCAAATAAAAAATTATCAAATAAACCAAAACTACATTATGATATATATATATATAGTAAAATTAATAAGCTTTAATAAAATTTTCAAAAAATAAAATATATATATCAACCTTATTTCGGAGATGGGGGTGGCTGATTCATAATATCCACATATCTCGAACGAATAGGACGCCGCGTGCTAGCGCTGGAAATACTTCTCTGTTTAACTGGTGGTGTTGAAACATTTCCGCCTGGTGTATTTAGAGGCGGTAACGATTGTCTACTGGTACTTGGCGGTGGAATTGATGGCATGTTTGAATTTGAGTTCATCATTGGCGCAGATGGTGTAGGTGATGTAGTTTTAGCGCGTGTTGGTTGCGGAGGTGGGGGTGTTGAAGTTGTAGGTGTATCTGTACCACCCTACATGTAGTAATAACATATATATAATTGAGAAATATAATATTAAATAGTAATTACATGTAATCATTTGTAACTCAGAATTACAACTTTACCTTTTTGTTGACCCATCTGTTTTGAACCGGATCGAAATAAAACGAACTTTCTTCTCCCAAATTAGCAGCTTTACCACCGCCTTCTTTCTTTCCAAACCATCTCCCAAACCATCCCGTCTTCTCTTCTAACAATGTATGTCATTATTAAGCAATATGTTCAGTATACTGAAGACTAAAATGTAATTATATTAAGTTAGATAAAATCCTAAATCTGTACCTTTTCTCTCATCTTTTGGCGTTTCTGGTTGCTGAGTGACATTCTCTGTCGATTCCTGGCTATTATCATCCGTTTGTTTCTCTTTCTTTTTGGCATTAAAAGCATTATTTCCTAATCCTAAGTCATCTTCTATATTATCCCATTCGTTATTACGAACTGCTGTATTACTTTGTGGTGCTGAAGTTGGTGTGAATAATGGGTTACTATTGTCCATGGGCGAAATAAATTCCCCTCCCCCATCGTTATTATTTGTAATTTGTTCTTGATTTGAATAATTGTCATTGGTATAAGGGCTGGGATTATTCCACCATCCAGAATCATTTGTATAAGACGTATCAGAATTCCCAACTGGTTGGTAATACGAATACATCTGTTGCTTACTTGTGTCTATGCCTGAATTGTCCGGCCATGATGAGTAATTATATTCACCTTGTGTTGACTGTTGACCATATGGAACAGACCCATATGAATGTCCGTTTTCAGAACTCGATTGTAAACCACTGTCATTCTGCTGCGATTGTTGATACATATTATAATTGGAATTATTATAAGAATTATAACCAGCATACATGTGCTGTTCTTTGCTGCCAGTACCCTGTACATCGGAGGTTCCGAAATGACCAGTGCTATTATTTATGGGCGATGTAATATAAGATGATTTATCTTCCGGTACAGGTGACATTGAGATTTGTCCATCAGAAGCTGAGGGACTATATCCATTATAATTATAGCCACTATTTGTGTATTCAGCAGTTTGTACACCAACACCAGGTGTTGATGATCTTCGTTGATATCCATTTATTTGTTTTTGTAATCTTGCACTGGGTGTAGTTGAACGTCGCGCTTCATGACTTGAATCAGGGATCGATCTAAACTCAGCTGCTGATACACTACGTGATGGAACATCTGAAGTCTGCTGAGTAATAGCACTAAAGTGGGAGAAAGGTCCAACAGTCTCTTGAGATATTGATGATGGTTTCTGTCCATTTTCATCCACGGCATCACCTGCAACAAACTTATTGAATTTAACTTCCAGGGAATCCCATAAAGAATCAAGAGCTGCTTTGGGCATTTTTTTTGCGAACAGCCAGGATGATGATTCATTATTCCTATTTAAACATGAAAATTTTAACAATATAGTCGGTGAACTACGGTGTTATTTATTGTTAAAGCGTATTAAGCTTACCCTGAACTACTACCACCATGTTCAAGTAGCCTTTGAGTTAGGTCTTTTAAGTTTTGCAAGAAACAGCCATGGAAATACGGGGAACCTTTTGTATATACCTTTACTATATTCGCAATAGATTCACAATATCTAAACATATATATATATTTTATAATTAGGACAACAATAAATGAATCATAAAAATTAATTAATGAGAATATTTTCTTGCCTTCTAGCTTCGTTTAAATAACCACAATCCACCAACCACCACGCATATAGTAACTTGTATGGTTGTAAAAATGGTAAGCCATCATTATTATTTAATGAAAGCCCAAACTCATAAATTTCTGTGAGACGCAGCGCTTGCCAGTCGCAAAAGAAGCGATAAGACTGATTATGAATATAGTCATTGCCCATGAGTGTGAAACGGGAATTAATATCATCAATTCCAGATTGGGTGGAAGATTGAGGAGACAATATGTAGCTTATAATCCAACATTTGGTTTGTTATAATGATGTCTTGAAGTATTATTCTACAAAATAATATTAAAACATATAATACGTACCATACATGAGCAGCACTAATCCATCCAAACTCTTTTAGCATGTCTCCTAAGGCCGACATTGCCTGATTATCACCTGGTGATCTATTTGATAAAATAATAGCCAAAGTTTCACGCCATTTTTTCAAACTCTCAATTGGAGCATCACATGTAGCAGAAGAATATAAAGTGTTTATGGGTACAGGATTATACTGTACGCTCGAAGAAGGATTTAACTGTGCAATATTTGTTGCTAAAGAAATGGGGGGGAATGTTGTTGCGGTAGCAGGCTGAGCTACACGATTGAGCAATGTTGAATAAGGAAGAAATTGTTTGACTAAAAAAAAAAGATAGTATTTAAATGAATTAGATATAATATCAAACAAAATATTGAATAATCATAAGAGCTCATATCCAAAAATACCGGAGTTCTGCCCGTGTCCAGCAAATAAAGAATACAAAACCCTTAAAGATTCTCTCCCGTTAGATTGTGAAGTATCATTAGGCTGGGAGCCCAATTCATGTTTTATAAAACCATTTACAACCTCTTTCCATTGGTCTTTGTTGACGCAACTCGCAATTATCAGAGCATGAGTCCATAAATTGTTATTCATTGCGTGATTTATGGCTGCAATACGGTCTCCTTTAATTAATAGTTCTTGTAATGTGTCGATGGCTTTTGGAGAAATAGAGTACGTCAAAGATGGAGGTGTGGACGACTCCGGTAAGCTTTGTGTAGAATCAAAGCTAGAATCAGCTGGAACTGTAAAATTTGACTCGTAATGTTCCGTTTTAGTAACAGATGGTACCAAAATGCAGCGTACGGCTTCTTCAACTTTTGGACTGTTAAAATTGAGCAAATTGTGGTTATAGACAAAAAAAATAAAAAAGTGAATGCGAAATGGCATCCATGGTATTTTACAATAATAGACGTATGACTAACCTTCCAACAAGAACACCATCATGTTCAAACATGACTTTAAATAAGTGCCAAATGATCGTATTAGCTTCCAACTTCCTTTTTTCAACTTCTTCACCGACAAAAGAGTTCAGCATATCTTCCGCAACTTTGATTTGATCGTTTAAGTATTTTATTACATGTTTTCTTTTTGCTTTCGCGCCTCCTCGATTATTATCCATAAGAAGAGGGCCAGGGAAATCTTCAATGTCTGATAATGGGATTATATCCTTTAAAGTACGAATTATCAAAGCACCTGGTGCATATTTTGTAATTGGTGTACTTTGGTCCGTACTAGTAAAACGTTGGACAGTACGAGGGAACATGGTGAACACTTTGCCCCCAAAACCAAAGGCGACAATAGGACACCCTTTAGACCTTCCTAAAGGATCATTTACAATATTCGTACTATCAGTCTCATACTGTTGCTGAATTATAGAGTTATTATACAGATTTGACGTATCAACTATAGGCGAGGACTAACAAATAGATGATAGTTGAAAGGAAGCTTATGAGTATTGAGTTAAAGTGTGAGTACTACGTTAAAACAAAACGATGGCCATGAATGACTAATGTAAGCATTCACACCATGATTATTGAGACAACGTTACTAGATATATCAGAGGGACTATAACAGGACTTATGAAATACAATACCTCATTGATAGCTCGTCCGCACTCCGAACAAAATTTTGCGGTTGGTTTATTTTCTCCTGCACATTGTGGATATAAACAGGGTACAAATTGAACGACTTTCGCCGAAAATGGTGAATAAGATTGTGGCGGTGGTGTATTAACAACTGTAGATTGATTTGAATCATAGTTTGGATACTGATGGGTAGATTGGTGAATTCCAGATATTCCATCGATAGTCGATTGACTAGTACTGTGTCCGGTGTAAGGATAGTTAAAATTACTGGTATTAGTTCCATCGTATTGCGTATATGTATCAGATGAATATTCTTGGGTGTTAACCGAGGGATATTGAGTATGCTGGTTATTTACATCCTCAATGCCAGTTGCAACTTGAGAAGTATCATAAGTTTGATATTGGTTGACTGAATCGTTTGTGCTCCATTTTTCATATCCGTAGTCATATGAATAATCTTGCTCAGTAGAATAATATTGAAAATTCAAGGATGGATCATTCATAGCTTGGTTGGCTTCAGGTTCAACAGTAGATTCTTCGTGTGTGCTTGAGGATACATGTGCCTCAGAGGTCCCAGATGTCGTATGTCCCAAAACTAAATCATCCAAATCATCCAATTTACCTGTATCTTTGTTTGTAGCTTGATTGGTTAAGTCAGCAGTTTCCTCTGACTCTTTAGAAGCATCTAATTCCGACGAAATTTGTGAATTATCTGCTATCTGGGATGTAGGTTGGTCTACTTGAGACAATTCTGTCTTTTTGGGACCTTCTAAATCTTGTGGTTGATATTCAAATATAGGTTGGTCTACTTGAGACAATTCTGTCTTTTGGGGACCTTCTAAATCTTGTGGTTGATATTCAAATATATCATTGTTATTTTGGTGAACTATATTGACTTCTTGTTCTTCTTTCGGATCATAATGATATTGTTGCGGGTAATAGTATTGCGAATAATCCTGGCCACTGCCATCATAGCCATGTTCCGTATAGTCGTAATACTGTGTAACATTAGTTTTGGGATCTGCTGTTATTTCAGTACTTCCAATCGCTTGCGTGGAAGAATACTGCTCGCCGTAATTCAAACCTGCCACATCATACTGTTGTGTTGATTCCGTTATATTTAAATCAGCTGTAGGGTTGGAATCATTTGCGGGTGAAAATAAAGAATCAAAGGGACTCTGCATAGAATCGTGAAATAAAGAAGCAGCAGAACCAGCAATCTTTAAACTCTCTTCAGAGGTACTCGGTGCTGTATGAATTGTACTGCCTTCCATTATTCTGTTGGCAATAACGCCCTCAAATGAAAAATAAAAAAATATTAATTGTTCAAAAATATTTTCGATTAAATAAAAAGAATAGATACTGATACAAATTAAACGGTAATGTTGACCAGGTTTAATTATGAACCACCTAAATTTAGAGAAATATAAAACGTGGATTTTTTTTTCTATAACAAAACGGTAAATCCCATCAAAGTATTGGGCATATGTAACAGAAATCAATTTTTTGTAATTGTGCCATTTCCATAAACAGGTGACTAATTTACAAAAAAACAAAAATTTAAACTTGGATGTTTTTTATTACGATTATGTATTATAGAAACAATGGTTAAATTATGTTAACTATCTAATTTAATTTTGTTATAATGATAATATAAACATGAGACATGTTTTTATACTGGTAATGGCATAGTTATATAGGCAATGTTATTACGAAACAGTTAAGCGAAAGTTCAAACAATTTTGACACAAAGAAATAGTATTAAGAATTTTAGATAGTGATGTTCAATACTATATACGTACATACGTATTAACATTTAGGATTAGTGTTGCTTCGTATGAGTTAAAATAAAGTTAGAATTAGAAATTAACAATTATTATAAATCGCACCAGTGTATTGAACACCAGTTAAACACCATATTTATTTAACTTTTTATACTTTTTATTATAATTTGTTGTCAATATCTAAGATTAAACATTGAAATAAAATTAGAAGCCATAGACTAAAAATTAAAGCTAAAAGAACGTTGAGTAAGGTTTTTGGTATATTTAGCCTTGACTATTTAAACAGTTTTTGAGACATCGATATATCAACTGTGGTGTTAAATACCCATTGGTGTGATTAACAATACTGACCCGGGTCAAATGACCCTCAGCAAATTTTTAGGGTTAGTGCGGGCCAGAATTATGCTGACGCCGGGCAGGGTTTTTTACAGCTGTTCTCATAAATTATGGAAAATTTGGCAAAAGTTGACCGACCGAATATTTGCGATTCGATAAGCTGATTCGGATGTAATTACATCCGAATCAAAAGTTTGTCGGCAAATATTCGGTCGGTCAACTTTTGCCCAAATTTTTCAGAATTTATAAGAACAGCTGTAATTCTACCCGGGTACATCGGGTAAGATTTTATATTCAGATATATCTGTCGATCACCGGATAATCCGTGGGTTTACCCGTCGGATAACCGGGTAGCATTTTTTGATCGGGTGATTTACTTAGTAAAAAAAAAAGTTTTAGATAGAAGTGCTTCACTTTTAGGCTTATAGTAAAATTTATAAATAAAAAAATTTTTTTTAGTTGACTAGAAAATCACCAATTAACTATATTGGTAGTTCTATAGGTAGTTCACAACAATCTTGGGTTGTGAAATAACTTATATATTTCATGCTACTAAGTAAAATTAGATGAATTGGTATAGGAAACTTGAATCAAAGTATTTTAATAGTAGATTTACAAACAGATTTCAGATATAGTATATAGAGAGTAATTATAAAGATATAACAGAGTTCTTAAATAGACAATAACTAAAGTTATATATGTGTTTATATATATCTTTATCAAAATATATTTATTTGAAGTTTTCTTAAAAAAGAGCACTACATGATCTTATAATCTAATAAAAGCAATAAGCCAAAGAGGCTAACCTTGACTATAAAAAAATAAAATAAAAAAAATAAAAAAAGTCAATAAATTCAGATAGTTAGTTATTATTTAAAAATTAAATAAAAAATTTGGATATTCTATAGAATAGGTGGGCAAACTCCGCCAACTCCACAAATCTGATATTAAAAAATTAATAATTACTAATCATTAGCAAAGCTTATTTCTTATATTGCCTACCTATTCTATAAAACATCTAAAAATTTGTTATAACATTTTTTTTAAAAAATTTTTTATTTTAATTTTATAAATTAATAAAATTACGGGTTTACTAAAATGCATCATAGGTGTTGAATATCATAGTTGCTATATCTCAAAAACGTACTAGCTAACACATTTCTGGAGTATTAAGTAAAAATGTTCAGAACTCCAAAAAACCTTATGCTAACTAAAATTTGGGCCTTTATATCTAACCCCTATTTTACTCTAAAGTTGCACTCTAACCCTAAATTTAAGCCAAAAACATATTAACACCAACAACACCTATGGTACATTTTATAATTACTATAAAATTAAAATAAAAAAATGATTAAATTTAAATAACTAATTATTAAAAAATATTTATTAAAAAGTAAAAAAAAATTTAGCTACAATTCTTTTTTTGATATTTAAATTTGAACAAAAATTACTTAGTATTTATTTGGTTAAATCTGATAATTGTTTTTTATTTTAATATTATATTTTAAAATTAAATAAAAAAATCAATTAAGTATAATGACTTAGTGAAATAATTAAGTTGGTAGGTTAAGAGTTCAAAATCTACTAATAACAAAATTTCAAAAATTCTACTTATATAATAGTTACTATTTTTTAATGATTAGTTAAATAGAATCTCTATAACTTTAGTGATATCAACAAGATTAGAAGTATTTGTACAATATATAGAGTGCAGACAATAAAAACAGCCCATTTTTATATAAGATAAGTATGGGTATTGTGACAGAGTTAGGATAAATTTTGGCATAACTCAGGATCTATTAATCCAAATCGAATAATTTTGGTACCATTCGATTTATCTCAATGAAATGAATTGAATGGTACTAAAATCGTTCAATTTGGAGCAATGGATCTCGAGTTATTTACAATCATATGATATATGAAATTGGAAGGGATATTGTGGTGGATAAGGATATTGTGGCAGATTTGCAATAACTCATAATCTATTAGTCCAATCTAAATGATTTTTATGCCATTTGAATCGTTTCATCGAGACAATTCGAATGACACAAAAATCTTTTAATTTCGATTACTAGGTCACAAGATATTGGTGTTAGAATAGTGTCTGAATATAAGATTATTTTTTTTAAAAAAATTTGATTTATAACATTCGAACACCAATATCTTGTGATCCAATAATCAAAATCAAATAATTTTTATACTATTCAAATCGTCTCAATAAGACGATTCGAATGGTATAAAAATCATTTAGTTTGGATTGATGAGTCACGAGTTATAGCAGATCTGCCACAATATTCCTATCCACCACAATACCCATAGTTACCTTACTGTATATCTTATTTTTAGATAATTGAGTTTAATCATTTGTTTTGTTTTTCAGACTGATCTAGGATTAATCAAATTTCACAATTTTGATTAGCTAATATTAGTAAATGACTATCAGATAATTTTGTGATATATTGGCTTTACAAAGCCTTATGAAATTTTTTTTTTTATATTATCCTGATTTTTTATTATACAAATTGACTTTCATTTATAATTGAAAAATGTCAATCATATTAAAATTTATATAAATCTAATAAATATATTTTTCAAAAAAATGTAAAAATATGCTGTTTCTATTGTTTGCACCTCATATAAATTATATAAAGATATACAAGCTGATATTGAATAGTGTAAATCTAAGATAAATCTCTGTAATTATATAAATTCAATAAACTAAAAAATAGATGTCTACTTGGCAAGACCCAAGTAGAGAAGTAATATAAACTTGCTAGAATAGGCTTCATAGTTAATCTTTAGTATAGATATATATTGTTATAGAGTTGTAGTCTTCTTAGTAAAATACAACCAAATAACAAGATTACTTAGTGCATTAATTGATATTTGCAAATATATCTAGGATGAAAATATAGTTGTTTATTTAATTATATAGCAAAAGGCAAATAGTTCAAGATAGTAATAATATATAAAATAGTTTTATTTCATACAAAAATATAGATAAACCTTGTCTGTAATAATTACTTCATAGAGGAAATTTCATATTTCAAAAGAAGAATATAAAAATAACAAAGTTTAAAATAAAGTATAAAAACTTGTAGAATTGACAGAAAGGAGAAAAGGCATTCTTTACTGTATATATCTTTTCTATCCAAGGCAAAAATATACAATATACAATGAAATATTAGAAGATAAATAACATTAGTTAAATAAGTTGGAAGATTGTATTAGGAAAAGTTGAGAAATATAAAAATTACTCAATTTGTTTATATTTTATTTATTGTTTGTAAAGAAAAACTTGGTGAAGTAAGATTTTGTATCTAAAACACAGATTTATATAAGTAAAACTTAGATAACTTTGTATCAAAGAACTTAAAAAACTAGTATTACTTTTTGTATTATTTTTTGTATAATCCAAAATACTCTTTTATATAATCTTATATTAACTGAAGTTATATAAGGTTATATAACTGCACTACACTTCCAATAGCTAATCAAAATGTTTTTATATTAGTACTATATTATATACTATATAAATATACACTTTTACTAAAATATATCTATGGTGTTTTACCATTTATGTTGTATTATCTCAAAAACTGGCTAATTAATTGATGTGAGATGTTCTAAGTAAAAATATTCTATACTCTCAAAAACTCTTTCCAAACCCTAATCCTAACCTTAATATTAATTTTAATGTAAAAAAATTGATGTTAAAAATTTTATATACAAAATTTATAAAAACTTAGAAAATTTTAAAAAACATAATAAAAATATATAATAGGTGCAAAACCACCATAGGTGTGTTTTATAATAATTGTAAATATATATAAACTAATATATAATAACAGATAATATAATAAATGAGGTGTAATAACTTAAAGTAGTGGTTAATTTATTATATCCCATGCGGCAAGTCTAGAGTTGGAATCTTATCAGAGATATTTTTAGAAAAATAAACTTATATATCGATAATATTTATTTAATGATTAGTTAGATATATATATGTTGATGAAATTATTTTAGAGTCTAAAACCTGAAATTAAAATTTAAATACAAGATTGTTTTTGATCTATTTTACTTCAAAAAGATGAAATTATAGAAAATATAACTATCTAAATTAGATTTGCTCATATATATAAAAAATTTCAATT